TAACACACCTCCTTTGTAACCGCTCCCTGCATCTTGTAGAAATGTCTGAACCTGCAACTCTGTTGTTCTACTGTTTTTGGTATGTACTTAATTTAAACTGACTGTATAATATTAGTTCATAACTGTTAACCAATATTTCGGCTAACTTATAACTATTTTTGTATCAGCACCCTGTTCATCATGTTACCATGCAACGTTAGGAAGAAACATTACTCCTGTCCACATTGATATGCTTACTGCTCGTACAGTCATGTCGACGGTTTCATCTTTATATTGTATAACTTTAGGCATATTTTTAGTTTAATTTTAAATTTAATATTTTTTTCACCTTGTATAATTTTAAGTATACTTAGACCTGTTGCTATTACCAACTGATGAGGGACTATTTTTCCATTGGAAAATAGTCCGAAATGCATTTTGGATTTTTACGGTTTTTATACTTATGTAATCATCTTATTGTACAACCCTATCTGTTTTATTAAATTTTTTTACTTTGATTTTTGAGCGTTTGTGCCCTTTGTCATTGGTGTGATAAGCCCTTCCTATTATCTACCTTATGGTTATAGATATTTTAATTAATTAATTTAAATATTGGGCATATTATGCTCTGAGTTTTGGAAAGGGTATAATGACATACAAACAGAAAAAAATTGTAATGTGTATAGGGAAGATCTCCTAAAGTTTGAATATGTCAAACATGGTTTCAAAAGTTTTGTTTGGAAGATTTTGGACTTAAGTTTAGAAAATGTATGTAGTGTTCAAATGCTGTTATTGAACAAAAATTTCAGAAAGAAATTGTTAAAAATTGATGAATAGCACACAAAACATTATATCAGTATATAACCAAACACAACAAAAATAAATCAAAAAAGCACTGTAAACATACAAGAATAACACAGCAAAAACGACTTGGACACGCGACAGGTTATGTTTACACTTTGAGCACATTTTTTCACTACATGTGCAATCCAAACTTCAAAAAATCGTTTGAACTCCAAGGCAAATTTTTGTTGAATTTTGTGTTCAAATTCTGAAGCATTTGAAGTATGAGATACCACTGTAATTTGTTAATTTATTATTTAAATTTTATCTAAATTTTTAGGCTTAGTAAATAAAATTTCAGCATTTCAGATTAATTAAATTTTTTTATCTTCTAATTATAATATTTAGGGTTAAAAATTTTTCAAAATCTATTTGTAATTTATTGATGTATGAGGGCTATTTCAAAATCAACCTTTGATTGACTGGTAAAAATTAATCAGTTGCCATAGCAATGTATCTCATTGTGTAGAGAATTAATAAACATTGTTGAATGCTAACTCATCATTTAATTTTTTATTTGTGCATAAGTAGCTAGCTACCAAGTAAACATGGATCCTGTCATCTCCACTCCCTCCAGCTAGGAGGTATATACAGGGTGTTTTTTTTTTAACTGACGGTACTCAGAGACATCTGTAGAGCAATCTAACAGCCGGACTGTTGCCAAATTTGGGAGAGTGACTAAGGACATGGGAAAGAGATTCTAAAGAAAAAAAGTAGTATCTAAATTCACCGGTAGGGGTGGGTTTGGCACTGCTGTAGCAAAACAGCTAAGAATTTGCATAAAACCAAGTTGCAATTAACAAACACATGAATGAATAATCAGACAGATGTTTCAGTGCAATAATGAAAGTTTAATTAATCAGCAAATAACCTTCTCCTTCCTTCAATATGACCACCATCCTGCTGGACAACACAATGCATCCTGAACATCATGTTCTTTACAGCCTAACGTAACATGTCCGCAGGAATGTTCATCACAGTTCAAGAAATGTTGTCCTTCAAGGTCATCAAATTGGGGACACCACAAGATAAACCTTGGACTTTAAGTAACCCCACAGGAAAAAGTCACATGGGGTTAGATCCTACAACGAGTGCAATCGCAACATCACTAAATGTCTGTGCAGACACCGGTTTTTGCTCTCTACCAGGCCGAACTGCTAAGGATCCTGTCTCTTCAAATTTCTTTATCAAGTCTTTCAATGCATTAATTGATAGAGGACCTCTGCGCAGGTTGTTATGGGTTCTAAACTCATGAAGAGCACCCAGTGTGCTTGATTAGTTAAGATAATAAAGTTTCACAAACAACGCACATTGAGGTAGAATGAAAGATGCATGTTGAAGTCTGCTTAAGTCTGGAATGCACTTCAGACTTTTGTCCTTGTCTTTTAAGCTCAAATTAGGTGGCGCTGCTGTCAACCAGGTCATTGTGAATTTGGATTTTGAGGTATTACCAGCCCATTATGCAAATTCTTAGCTGTTTTGCTATAGCAGTGTCAAATCCACCCCTACCGGTGAATTTAGGTACTACTATTTTTTTTCTTTGCGGAATCTCTTTCCCATGTTGTCCTTAGTCACTGTCCCAAATTTGGTGACTGTCCGGCTGTTAGATTGCTCTACAGATGTCTCTGAGTACCATCAGTTTAAAAAAAAAACACCCTGTACATGGTGTGATATATTTTTTACAAGCAGAAGGATGCAGTGCTACCGATGTTCATCACCAATTGTAGTGTGATAACATTATGAGGGATTAGTGCTGGAAATTCAGGGATTGGCACACAAATATGCATGATGAGAGTGGACAAGGATGACACTCAATTGTGACTAATGATTTCATTAAATAATCAACAAAGTTGTGCATGAA